CAAAGTGACAAAATATAGAATTAAAGAAGTAAAAATTTTTGCAATTTTAAATTTGATTTTGAAATATATATGAAGTTGTTACTTTTTTCCCCTACTTAAAAAGGCTCTGTCCATGGAAAAGGACTAGAAGTAATAATAAAATAGTAATGTTCACCTACAGCTCTCTGATTTTGGTTTCCAAATAAGGTTTCCCTCCCTATCTGAAAGTAGAGCATTCCTATGAAACCTCTTGTAAGCTGAAATGGCATAGAACAAAGAAGCAATTATCATTAATTTATACGAGAAAAATTTTTGAGCATTTCAGATCCAAAAAATATCTACCAAATCATACCAAATAACACATAAAACCCTTTTGAGTTCTCTTAGGCTTTTCTGATACCTTAGGACACACCTTGCTAACAGATGCACAAAATGAATGGAGATGAAGCACAGATGCTCACAGACACAGTTAAAAGCTATGGTGGCTTGATGCTGAGTGTAGTTCCTGGGGAAGGAGGTTGGCAAAGCCACTGTCACTGCTCAGGGTACCACTGCCTCTTTAAGGGCTCACTGCAAAACAAATGCTGAATGCTATTTCTGCTTTTCGCCTTTTTTTTGTAAAAGCAAAAATCCTCTTTGGATTTCTTTTGGTGTTAGTGAAAACAGGTATTAATGTAGGTGTTTCATAGAACTGAATTGGCATAAAGCGAACTTTCAAAAAGCAGGGGATACCTGTACTATTAAAAGATCCAGGATTTCTTAGGAAAATGGCTGCTTCCAGTCTAGGGCATAAGTGTACCTGATAAATCTGGGATCTTTGTGTGTGTGTGTGTGTGTGCCAGAAAATAAGGAAGCCATTAAAATGTAATACAGTCATCAAGAGGGCACAGCCAGAGACTACAGGCCAAGGATATGATATTTTTATCTAAAAAATAATGACTGAAATTGATTAAGACACATTGAATGTATAAAAAGACATGTTTGAATAACAATGTACCATCAATCATTTAATAAAACAATCAATAAAGGGACATAAAAAAAAGCTCACTGCATATCAATGGAGATCACTCTAAAAATTGATAACTAAAGGGAAAGAATTAAGTACTTATCCTGCCTTCTAGCATAAACTATATTTCAGGGTAATCAAATAAACCATAATGGATAAGAAACCAGATAACAAAGAAGGAATAATAATATTATAAAATTACTACTTTGAAGCTTCAGTTGAAAAACTGCTTCAGACAATGGTCATCAGTGGTTGGTAAAAATTTTGAAGTAAAAGAAGGATGGAGAACTTTACAATGAAGGGATAAGACTGTCATCACCTGAACCCACTGATTAATCTTGTCATCCAAAAAAAAAAAAAAATGGGGTAACTAAATATCATATTTCTCCTGCTGAAATGCAGCATGAAGTGCAAAACTCCACTTGTGAAGTATGTTTTAAGACTCGTCTTTTCTCAAGATAAAATGCAGGATAGGAGGACAAGCTAAATGACACAAGGAAGAAAATCCATTAAATCGAGAATGTGGGTATTCCACAGGCAAATTATATGTATTTCTTCAAAAAATCAATAACAGTAACAATTTCCATATCTGCTCAGAAACTGTGAAGACTTCTGCCATGACAGTCCTGGTTCTCCTCTTGGGTAGGACCTCCTGAATCTAGTCCATCTTAGTCTGAAAGCTCCAATGAAACCTATTCTTTGGTGTAAGCAACTGAATCTGATAGCAGATAATTATGAAAAGGATGTAGCAGCCTTGTAGAGTTAATACAGGGGGAGTTCAGTGATAAAGATCATGGACTCTGGATTCAGACTGCCTGGATTAAAATTCCAGTTACACAGTTTCCTTGCTATGAATCACTGGACAAGCATACAACACAAACATCTTATGTCTCATTTCCTCATCAGCGAAGGGAAACTAACAATAAAACTTGTCTTACATACTTGTTGATATGATTAAGTAGGATAATAAAGACAAAGTACTGAATGAGTGTTTTATTTCTGCCATAAGAAATTACCACAAATTCAGTGGCTTTTAAACAGCACAAATTTATTATCTCACAGTTCTTTAGGTCAGAAATCAGGGTAAGCTCAACTGGTTTCTCTGCTCCAGGTCTCACAAGGCTGAAATCTAGGCTCTGAGAAGAGCACATTCAGGTTGTTGGGAGAATTCCCATGTGGATATAGGATTGAGATCTCTCCTGTTTCCTTGCTAGCTGTTGGCTGGGGATCATTCTAATCTTCTAAAGACCACCCACAATCCCTGGCTCATGTTCCCCTCTATCTTCAGAGTCAGCAATGGGGAGTTGTGTCTTTCTTATACTTAGAATATCTCTGATCTGCCCTTCTACCTCATCTTTCCTGCCTACATCCAGAGAAGTTTCTCTTCTTTTAAGGATTTGTGTGATTAGGTTTTGCATGCCTTTGATAATCTAGGATAATCTCCTTATTTTAAGGTTTATAATTTTAATTACATCTGCCCAGTGCTTTTTTTCACATAAGGTAAGATATTCGCAGGTTCCAGAGATTAGGATGAAGACATCTTTGTGGAGGCATTATACCTACCACAATCTGCCTTCTCACCCCCTAAGATTCATGTCCATCCCACATGCAAAATACATTCATCCCATCCCAAGGTCCCAAAGATCTTACTCCATTACAGCGTCAACTCAAAGCCCAAAATCTTATCTAAATCTCATCAGCTCAAAAGTCCAAAATCTTATCATCTAAATTAGTTATGGATGGGACTCTGGGTATAAATCCATCCTGCAGTACATTTTCCCTCTATCTGTGAAAGTATAATACTAAAGGGACAAGTTTTCTGCTCCCAACATACAATGGTGTAACAGGCCTGGGGTAACAGGTATAGTCATTCCAGTTCAATAACAGAAAATTGAAGGCAAAAAGGAGTCATCAGTCCAAAGCAATTTCAAAATCTATTAGGTTTTGAAGCCTGGGAATAATCCTATGTGACTCTTGATCCAACCTCTGAGCTGGTGGCTCTTCCATCTGAATTATCGTTTTTTATTTATGAAAGGTAGCAGGCATTTGCAGCTAAGGTTTTATCAGCTGCTTCTTGTCAATAGAATGTGGGAGGTTTGACAGCCTTCCTTCATTTCATGCATTCTCTGTCTTTTTCAGTCCACTCAATGTTTCCAATTAAAGAATCAAGAACTTTTTAAATCTTCCATGCATGTAACAGGGACTCACTCCAATACGCAGAAGCAAGGTCCACAAATTTTTTTTAGATAATCCATTCTTTATATTTGGGTTCTGCTGAGATGACAGCAGGGCAAAGTCTTTAAGTTTCCTAGAGGCCTCTGGTTTGATTGAGGGAATCTCTGAGTCACACGTTTAGTTCCTTGTAACTGAATACTCTGAAATTTTGGTCATTCCAAGGTTTCAGCAAAGGATTATAAAATTACAAACTCAATTTTTTCTCCAGAGTGTACTTTTCTTGACACTGAATCTCTTGATTTTAATGACTTTTTCCATGGGGATAAGCTGAGAATGTCACAAATCATCAAGTCCTGGTTCCTTTTTGAATAACAGTTCTTCCCTCAATTTATCTCTTTCCTTTTGCATTTTACTGTAAGCAGCAAGAAGAAACCAGGCCACACCTTCAACACTTTGCTTGGAAGTCTCCTTATCTACATACCTGCTTTGCACATAACTGCAGGACACAATTTCACTAAAGTTCCTGTCAATATATAACAAGGATTTCCTTTCCTCCAGTTTCCAATATTTCTAATTTCCTTCTGAACCTTCACTGTTAGGGCCTTGAATGTCCATATTTCTGCTAACAAACTGTTCATGGCAAGCTAGGCTTTTTCTATCATCTTCCACAAATATTTTCAGCCACCACCCACCACTTGATTCCAAAGCCAAATTCACATTTTTCGGTATTTTTTACACCAGCACCCAACTCCTGACACCAACATCTGTATAGTTTTCTATTGCTGCCATAACAATTACCACAAACTTAGCAGTAATCTTAGATTCTAAGATTCTCGTGGTTAAAATCTCTCTGATCTCCCTTTCTCCCTCATCTTTCCTGCCTTCAGGGGGAGAAGGTTCTCCGTTTTCAAGAATTCATTTGATTTGGCCCACCGTGATAATTCATGGTAATTTCCCTATCTTAAGGTTCATAAACTTAGTTGCGTCTGCACATATTCACAGGTTCCAGGGATTAGAAGGAGAACATCTTTGGGAGGCTGTTCTGCCTACCACAGATAGCACAGTTCTTGGCATGAGTTAAGAATAATAACTAATTTGCTATTATTACTATTTTTATTAAAAATATGACCTGTTGTTGTTGTTAGGTGCCATTGAGTCTATTTTTGACTCATAGCAACCCCATGTGATAGAGTAGAACTGCCCCATAGGGTTTTCTAGGCTATAATCTTTATGGGAGCAGATCACCAGCTCTTTCTCCTGCAGAGCCACTGGGTGGGCTCGAACAACCAACCTTTCAGTTAGCAGCTGAGCACTTAACCGTTGTGTCACCAGGGATTCTTAAAAAATATGACCTAAGGAAGGACAATTGCCAAGGGAGCATGGTTTCATAGACTGTCTATTTAGGCCACTACAGTCAGATTGACTCTGTTCCAAATGCCTTCGTTTTTTGTTTGTTTGTTTTGGCTCAATATTCAAATCTCTTTAAGAAAGATTCTGATGTACCTAGCCTGGGTCATGGTTTCACTTCTTGTCCCAGTGCACTGTTAGGAGAAAGGGGTAGAATGTTATTAGCCTATCTTGGGTTGTGTGATCACCCTCTTTGATGAACATATGAATCTGAGAGAATCACTTTTACTGAAAATTTAGGGTGTAATTATTAGAAGAAAAATGAAGGGATAATGGGCAACTAATAGCAACACATGTCCACATAGATATGAATAATAAATTAACATTTTCATAAAATGATCTCCCAGAGAAGATAGTTATCATATCCATTACTCCTGCTCTGAATAAGTTGACTCTGAATCATTCTAACAAAAGAGTTTTCTGCCCTCTTCAGAAGGATTTCCAAGGAAGTAAATACCACCATGTTCCCTATGGCATCTAGCATCATGGACAGTCAAGGAATTCTCTTTAAAGGCCAGTTACCTGGTATCTTGTATTAGAACGGCCCAGTTTCTCTTTCATCCTGATTTGTGTCTGTTACATGAGAGGACGAAAATATTTTCTGAACATTCTTCCCATGGCTGCCTTCACCTCCTTGTTCTGGAGGCTGTAGATGAGGGGATTCAGCATAGGTGTGATTACACTGTTTTGCAAAGGAAAGATTATCTCCAGGGGGGAACCTGAGGTTGGCAAGAGATAGCTGATGAAACCTGAGCCATAGAAAAATATCACAGTAGTGAGGTGGGAGGAGCAGGTGGAGAAGGCCTTGCTTTGGCTGGAGGTGGAAGTGATGCTCATAATGGTGGAGATGATGCACGCATAGGAGGAAACAATCATTATGAACGTTCCAAAGAAATGCAGGATAGAGGAGCAGAGCAGTAGCATAAAGTTGATAGAGGTATTATAGCAAGACAGAAGGAAGACAGAAGACAGCTCACAGATAAAGTGGGGGATAGTCTGGCCCTCACAAAAGTCTGACTTGACAGCCAGGAGAGTATTGATAACAGCTTCGGCAAAGGCCAGGCCGCAGGAACCCCATACCAGCCCAACACACAACTGTTTACTCATCACCTGACCATAGAGCAGAGGGGAGCTGATGGCCACATAGCGGTCATAGGCCATCACTGCCAACAGACAGGCCTCAGTGCCCCCTGTGGCAAACACAAAGAAGGCCTGAGCCAGGCAGCCCTGTACAAAGATGGTTTTGCTTTCAGAAAGTAGATTCTCCAGCATCTTGGGTACTGTGACAGAGGAGTGGCAGAGGTCCAGGAAGAACAGTTGTTTTAAAAAGAAGTACATGGGTGTGTGGAGGTGAGAATCAGCCCTGATCAGCAGCAGCATTAAGAAGTTCCCTGTTAGAGTGAGGAGGTAAACAAGAAGGAATAGCACAAATAGGACAGCCTGAATGTGGCAGTCAGTAGACAGTCCAAAGAGAATGAACTCACTAATAGCACTATAGTTTTTCATTGCTGTATGTCAAAGTGTTCTCTCTGGAATATAAGAAAGAGGATCCACCAAAACTGCTTTAATGCCTCTCAGTTACCCCAGCACCTACATCTTATTCTCCATAAATATCTTTTCAATACTGTCCCAAAATTCACATTCAGATATTTAAAAGTTAACTTCCTGATCATCGGATTAACATAGACATTCTAAGTCAACTAAATATATTTGGACAACAAAACATCACGGAATTCATAGTCTGGGGTGTGCAATTAGATTATTTTGGATTTTTCTTGTTTTAAATTTCCCCCATTTCATTCAGTGGTATCGCGTTACTATCTAATTGTAAAATTTATTCATATAATAATAATGAACTTTTAAAAACTAGCACCCTAGATCAGGGGACCCAGTGATATTTTAGGTAGACTTTTGTGGGCAGTGCTATGCCTGCAATAGGTCATGAGAAGCTGTTTACTATTACAGTACAATGCCCTGGTTAGTTACACAATACCCATCCTAAAACCTACATATCCAATAATATATGCAGTCACCCCTCCTGTCCAAGCCCTCGTATCAGGTTAAAAAGCTCCACATGCTTACCTGAACTACCTTCCCAAGCTTTAGAACTTGTGCATGTTTTCCCACGCTGACCCGATATTCTAGATTTTACCTGTGTCTCAGAATAACTCCTCAATACTCCTCACAATCTAGAGACCCATGCCGGCCTTTGCGGTTCTAATTCAGCATTAGCCCATTTAGTTCATCCGTGGAGACGGAAGAGCCCATTGTTGGTTAACTGAACAGCTGAGTCGCCCAGCCCTGGTGAAGGACAAAATCCAATCACCTGCATTCTCAATTGATGGCGCACTCTCGGTTGTGGCAGCAATACTTTCAGATCCAGTACCTGACAAAACTTCTCAGTTTGTAAAGTCAACATTGAGAATACTGGTTTAGGAGAGAAGTAAAAAAATCAAGCTGAAAGTTAACTTTGATGATGGATCAACACTAGTGATACAAAATAGTAAATTGTGGACTATATCTGAGTATTTATTTCCAGTTATTTGGGGAGAGGATAGAGCAGATCATTGCTTAAATTCTTCCTCTTTCACTCTTCAGTTTACATCTAGCGCCATTGTACAAGGGGGGACACCCAGCACTCATCCTGAGAGCCCCTCATCACCTCCAGAGCAAAGCAGCTTGGAAGTGAAGAAAATCATTACTTTTTCAGTCCAGGCAGAAAGTTCACAGTAGTCAGGCCTGTGTTGTACGATTTCAGGGCCAGCACACACACAAAATCCCCTTCCTCTTGGTCACTTCCAAACATAGCATAATTTACTAGCTCCAGAAATTCCATGAGCTGGGGAGAAAATCTTAACCTTGGAAAAAGGCAAAACTGTGCATAGAAACTACCAGTGCAATAAAAGTCAATGCTAGGAGCTTGATTCCAGGGCAGGTTTCTTCTTAAGGTAATTTAGAGATTCTCAGAACAATCTTCCAAAAATAAAATTAAAACTTATATTTTTACTGTGGCTGATGCTTGAAATGTAACTTATTATTATTTATTGATTGATTTATTATTTCATTCTATGTTTCAAAATTTCAAATAAACAGCCCTGGGAGCATAACATAGTGGATTTGTTTCTAGATATTAACACCATTATATGGAAGAAATTAATTGGCTCCTGCCCAAAGGAAAATCTCCTTGAGAACTTTTCATTTCAGAATCAAACAAAGGGCACCATAATAAATAGCTCATGGAAGATGCTCAGAATGTGATAGTAGAAAACAAAAACGAATGAATAAATGAATGAGAGAGAGAGCGACATTGCTCTTGGAAGATAAGCCTGTCTATGTGTCCAAAATGGGGACTTCCAGACAGTCTATATTAGCTTGACGGTTCTGAATTCATGAACGGGCACTTGGCATGAGGGAAAAGTACTAAAGTGAGAGGCAGCAAAGATAAACATAACCCATTTTCTAAATGTGTCCTGATTATGCTCTAACTTCTGCCTCCTTACCCTGTTAGATGCCTCATATGTTCTGGGATGGGTTAAAGGAGGTTTGGGAAGTTTTTTAATGCAAGATTTTTCTAAACAAGCCTGGAATTCGATATTATTACTGCGTAAGTGTCTCTAGGGTTTATATAAATCGTAGTGATTTCATTGTGCAATCAACTGACAATATTTTGAATAGTACTTCTCCACACGAGTGAGGACATACTATAAGCACCACACAACTGACATCATTTGTAGAGTTGCCGGTTCCAGCTCTCCAGGAAGTGCACTGAACAAGGCACACTGCGTCACATACACAGCATCCTGCAGCAGGCAAATTTGCCCTAGAAGCAGGACATGATGAGGCATTGTACGGCGCAAAAAGAATTATGTCCCAAGAGTTCTTTAGAGCTGAAGTACTACCTTAGAGGACAAGGACCTATGTTTCAAAAGGCTTCAAATCTCATCTATTTAAGCATAAATTTAATCAGTAAGTTTTATTTAAATAACAGACTGTCCACTGTGGATGATCAAACTAAAATGACACTAAAACTTTTAAAAACACAGTTAAGTTACAGATAACAATTACCGTGTATTTTCTTTTATTATGAAGTATTGCCCCATGGGCTACAGACCATAGTGTTTGCAATGCAAACTTGATAATAAAACTTTATGCTTGATGAAAACACATTCACCATTCCCAGCAATGTACACACTGCAAACTAACTCTTCAAATGCATAGTTAAGGTAACTGTTAATGTGCTTGTATTTTTGTTTATGTTAAAAGTTGTGAGTTCTCACTGTGGTGTGAAACAAGGATAAATAATACATCGAGCTTGCTCAAATACGTGCTAGGTAGATGTCTGTCCTCAGTGCCTTGTATTAAAGCCATATTTTCACAGTTAAAATGGTCCAATAAAGGCAACTAAGGTCAAGCATAAAATGGCAAATACATCTCAAATTACTCAACTGTTTGACACTGTTACTGATTTTTAAATTGGTAGATATTTCACATAATTTAATTTTTAGGTACAGATTCACAGACTAAAACAAATGTTGAACTAGAAACTTATAAGCAAATGATTGTGCATTTGTTCCACAAACATAGGTTAGAAATGGAGTTTTACAGGCTTGCGATGTCATAGCTTTTACAGAAGTACCCTTTTGTTGACTGTGTTAGTTGATGTCAGAAATCATGGTATGTACATTGCCATCAGTGGATATGTTTATACGGACAAGGATTCCATCTTCTGTTGTGAAGAAATTAGAAGTCTTTCAGTGTAAATGGACTGCATGTTGTATACTCATTTTTCATTTTATTTACGTTCTTGCTTTATAAATGCATACGTAGATAGGGTGGTAGGATCTGCACTTATAAAAACAAGCTCTATTCCAATACTTGTTGCTGCAGTGTATGTATTTCTTAAAGGTATTATTTTATATTGATAGTTTAAAAAATACTGCCAACTCGTAAAATAAGTTTATAACTTATACAGACTTTGTGATTTCTTTACTTTTAGTTACCACAAAAACCCAAAAACACAAAAACTCTTTAGAGTTCAGGGAATAGAGGAATGCCTGATCTATAAAGACTGGAAATCTGCGCTTGATGTTCTTACTACTCAGTTGGCAGTCTCACCTCCCCCAACCTTCCTAGGCTCTGATGAAATGGAGGCTGTATGCCAAAGGGTAAGGAAAACAGCGGAGGGGTGTCAGAGCTCCTTGGAGACACGCATATGTGAGATCTGTAAGGGTACATAAAATACCTTAAAAAAAAAAAATTCTCCCTGGCGCAAAAAAAAGAAAGAAACCGCTCCCTTCCCCCCCCCCCCCCCCCCCCCACATCTCTACCTTAGAACATTTACTTTTGAAAACTTGTCATTGTAAATTCTCTTTCTGCTTCCTTGAGATGTATGCAAATCCTTTAAAAAGCTGAATAAGCCTCTTGCCAGTTTTACAACCCAGGAATCTTTTTCTCAAGGACCTGGAGCCATCTCTTTGAAATGTAATCATCAAGGAAGAGAGCACCCCTGTCTCCCAGCTTCCCTGGGAGGGTAGGAGCCCAACTGCGGCAGATGCCTGGCTCCAAGTTGCAAAACTACTCGCTGTCATAAAGGTACGACAAATTTATTTTTCCACCAGATAAAGGCAATTAGCAAATATTAGTGGCTGCCCCAATTACCAGGTGAGTTTAGGATAAACTGTTGTGTGACAAATTGTGCCGTCAAGTCCTTTTGAGGATTAGTTGTCGTTTATCTTGAGAACGTTTACAAAATGGGTTGCATCTGCTTGGCTATATGAAAGGGTCAGATTTCCTTCTGTCTTTGCAACCACTTTAGCGTATGCATTGTCTGTGATGAGCATTACACTCTGGTTTAATGTTTTATTCAACAATAAAACAGTTTTCTTTCTCTTCCACCTTTGTGAAGAGGGGTTCTGAGTTGGCAGGAGATTTTGTTTTTAATTATATTTTCCCAGCAGGTCTTATCCTAGATCTTTTACTTTGTAGCTACGCAAGCTCTGAAAAAAAAATTTCATCTTTTAATTTCAAGTTTCCCACCAGCATAGCGGGGTAACAATACCTACTTGGCAGTGTTGTGAGAATTTAATTGAATAATTTAGATAAATTAAGAGCTTTAATAAACTCAGGTTACTATTTATATTTAAATGCTCAATATTACAAAGGAAGAGGAAGAGAGGCACACCTGAGAAGCCGATAAGGACATTTTAGGGAGAAGATTGAAAACTAGTCAATCTGGAGAAGGTTGGACTGCAGGAGAGCTCCAGCACAGGAAAAGAGAGGTAAGATGAGAGGGCTCAGAAAAAAAGTAAGTGCCTTAGAAAGCCAGTAAGAGAGAGAGGGAGAGAAGGGGACAAAGAAGTAGACTAAGAACTGGTCAGAAGGGACAAAAACATCAGATAATTTAGGGAGGACGTTATTATACTCCTGGCTTGTATTCTGGAGGTCAAAGTCAACAGGTGAACACATCTTAGCTCAGATGATTCCCATTGAGAGAATGTACCACAACTATTCACCTCTGGGAATAGATATAG